TCTTTGTACGTCTAGTAATTTCTGTTTGTATACTGGACTTTGAATGATCCACTGTAGAGATTCTAAGTTCTCAATTCTCTGATGTCTCCCACAAGTGGTGTTTTGTTTTTGTTTTTTGTGGTTTCCAAATAGAGCGTTAACTTGGCAGAACCCAGCATCCAAACTGTCTTCCTTTAATGGGCAGCATCTGAAATCTCTTACTTTTTAATTTTGTTATTATTTTTTAGACAGAGTCTCGCTCTGTCTCCCAGGCTGGTGTGCAGTGGCGTGATCTCGGCTCACTGGACCTCCATCTCCCAGGTTCAGGCGATTTTCCTGCCTCAGTCTCCCAAGTAGCTGGGACTACAGGTGCGTGCCACCACGCCCAGCTAATTTTTGTGTTTTTAGTAGAGACAGGGTTTCTCTATGTTGGCCAGGCTGGTCTGGAACTCCTGACCTCAGGTGATCCACCCGCCTTGATCTCCCAAAGTGCTGGGATTACAGGCCTGAGCCACCGAGCCTGGACCTGAAATCTCTTAATTTTTTTTTTTTTTCCATCCCAACTGCTTAGATTTTTGCCTCACAAATCTGTAGCTTAGGAGTCAGCTAGGTATTTGGGCAGCATATGTATGCACAGTTGTGGCTTTCTGCTCCATTCTTTTCAGGATTTATTTCCTCTGTTTCCTAGTCCTAAGTTTGTTTTGAACACTTTCTGGTGGTTTCTCTTATAAGACTGTGAGTTTCTGTTCAAGTTTTGACTTCCTCGCTTGGTCTGTGCTGGGCCTGCCTCTGAGCAAAGAGTTTGAAATAAGTAAGTAAATAAATACAATCCTCTACACTTTGCTAGTGCAATACTTTCTTCCAAGTGTCAACTTCTTTCTCATTTCTGCTGCTGTTAGTCACTCTCTAGTGTCTTTATGTAGTTGCTCTTTATTTTGCCCAGAGTTCATAGTTGTTACCTGCCAGAGGGATTGGTCCAGTAAGAGTTTCTCCTATATTGTTGTAAATGTGTGTTTTTATATTAAGGAAGTTGTTTCCCATAATACTTGTCTTTAATACTACTTTTATCTTTTTGGCGAGAATTCTGTCGTATCATATGCTTAAGCCTCATTCATAGACAAAGAAAATGACAAATGATTCTTCTTTTTTTTTTTTTTTTTTTTTTTGAGACAGTTTCTTAATGTCTTGCTCTGTCTCCCAGGCTGGAGTGCAGGGGTGTGGTCACAGCTCACTGCATCCTCGACCTCCAGGGCTCAAGCTGTCCTCCTACCTCAGCTTCTTGAATAGCTGAGACTACAGGCATGAGCCACCATGCCTAGTCTATTTTTGTCTTTTTTGTAAAGATGGGTTTTTGCTATGTTGCCCAGGGTGATCTGCCCACTTTGGCCTGCCAAGCCCTGGAATTACAGGCATGAGCCAATGCGCCTGGCCGAATGTAAGAAAAAATATCCTAGGACCTCTGAGAGTCCCTGAGATGTCAGGAGGTTTGTAAGACTATATGTATTTTCTTAATGATCCAATGATGTTATTTGCCTTTTTCACTCTCATTCTCTCTAGTGTGCAGGGTTTGCTACAGGTTGAATGGCATGGTATATTGTGACAGATTGAATATAGAAGATATGACATTCCGGTTATCTTCTATTAAGCCTGACCTGAAAAAGATTGGCAAAAATGTAAATCAGTGCCATTTGTCTTTTTTTTTTTTTTTTGAGACAGGGTTTTACTCTGTTGCCCAGGGTGGAGTGCAGAGGCACAATCACAGCTTACTACAGCCTGGTCCTCCCTTTGCTCCGGTGATCCTTCTACCTCAACCTCCCGAGGAGCTGGGACTACAAGCACGTGCCACCACACCAAGCTAATTTTTTGTAGAGAAGGGGCTTGGCATGTTGCCCAGGCTGGCCCCTTTGTCTTAATGTAATTATTTTATTGTTCTGGAAAAGTTGTTTTTCACAAGAATGTGCTTTTTAACATGTCATTGCTATGTTTTTTCTAGTCTTTTAATTTTTATTCAAAAGTCATTTTTAAAATTTAGCTTTCTGACTCTGCGCTTGTGCCTTCAACACTTTCACCATGATATTCTGTTCCTTGATAAGGAAAGTATGCTTAATCCTGTCATGATCACATTTAACACACATGGAACCACCATTGGCTCTGCTGACATGTTTTTTTTTGTTTTGGGCATTCATATAACAATGTTAGATCTCACAACACAAACCCCTTGAAGTCTGCCTGGGCACAAGCCACCTGCAGATTTTGGTGCTTTCCCAACTTTCTTGGTATAAATAAAGGTAAATAATTCTATTACCAGGGATTCCAGACAGCCTAGTTTTGTTAAAGGCTGTATTGTAGAAAGCCTATGACAGGCAGTATGTCAAATGCTTGACCATTCTGAGTGCCTCTAGACCACGCCCCTGGAAGAGGAACTGCCTTTTTTTATTGTTATTATTATTTTTTGAGATGGAGTCTCGTTCTGTCGCCCAAGCTGTAGTGCAGTGGCATGATCTCGGCTCACTACAACGTCCGCCTCCCAGGTTCAAGCTATTCTCCTGCCTTGCCTCCCGAGTCACTGGGTCTACAGGCGCCCTCCACCACACCTGGCTAATTTTTGTGTTTTTAGTAGAGACGGAGTTTCACCATATTGATTAGGCTGGTCTTGAAATCCTGACCTTGTAATCCGCCTGCCTCAGCCTCCCAAAATGCTGGGATTACAGGCGTGAGCCACCGCGTCCAGCCGAGGAACTGTATTTTTAAACAAATCCAGTATTTAAAAATTTCCTGAGTTCTGATTTCTTTTCTTTTCTTTCTTTTTTTTTTTTTTTTTGAGACAGAGGTTCACTCTTGTTGCGCAGGCTGGAGTGCAGTGGCATGATCTTGGCTCACTGCAACCTCCACCTCCCAGGTTCAAGCGATTCTCCTGCCTCAACCTTCCAAGTAGCTGGGATTGCAGGTGGCTGCCACTACGCCTGGTTAATTTTTTTGTGTTACGGGGTTTCGCCATGTTGACCAGGCTGGTCTCAAGCTCCTGACCTCAGGTGATCCTCCTGCCTTGGCCTCCCAAAGTGCTGGGATTATAGGTGTGAGCCTTGCCCCCAGCCTCTCTGTTCTAATTTCTAATACATTAAGTATTGATAGGCAAGACCTAAACTAAAGCTCTTTGGGTGTGGGTCCTTACTGATTTTAAGCGTGTAAAGACATCCTAAAGGCTGGGCGTGGTGGCTCACGCCTGTAATTTCAGCTCTTTGGAAGGTGGGCGGATCACCCGAGGTCAGGAGTTCAAGACCAGCCTGGCCAACATGGTGAAACCCTGTTTCTGCTAAAAATACAAAAATTAGCCAGGCATGGTGACAAGTCGCCTGTAGTCCCAGCTAGTGGGGAGGCTGAGGCAGGAGAATCACTTGAACCTGGGAGGCGGAGGTTGCAGTGAGCCGAGATCACGCTATTGTACTCCAGCCTGGGCAACAAGAGTGAAACTCCGTCTTTAAAAAAAAAAAAAAAAAAAAAAGGCATCCTGAAAACAGAAAATTCGAAAAGGGCTAGTGTACAACAAGTATATTAACTCTTTGAGACTGGGATTAGGCCCATCTCCCATTTGATGTATACCTGATCATGTGTTGGGTTAGTATGTGAACAAAATTGTGGTTATTTTAAAAAGGAAGGGGGTTCATGGTTTTTGGGTTGACATCCCATATGCTGCTTCAGTTAGCATATTATACTCAATTCCAAGGAATCAATTTTGTGTGATTATGTTAGTAGTCAGGATACCTTAGGCTAAAGTAAAAGTTTTGGTATTTTTAAATTATAAACTTAAATTTATACTGATATTGATTTCATCAAATTTTCTTAGGCGATTTTTTTGGTGAAGTGTTAGATTCCAATTTCTTTGACAGTGATTCAAATACTTCCTTTAAATCAATCCTTGAAGAGTACCTTTAAAATTTTAGGTAGTACTAGGACTTAATATTGGTAATTATTTACATGCTAAACAGTCTGTATGTTAAACCCAGATTTTCTGTGAAATCTCCCATTGAAAACATGAGTTTTAAGTTTTGAGAGTTTATCTTATTCCCTTCTCTATTACCAGAGTTTCCTGGGAACCTCATCATAAAATATTTTGTGGCTTGGGCATGTTGTAATAGAACTTACAGTATTTTATACTCTACTTTGTCACTGGATCACTTATTTAAGAGAGACCCATTTGGGTACTTTTAAACCAGTATTCCTCAAACTTTAATTTGCGTATCATAATCACGTAAGGATTTTTTAAAATGCAGATTTTGATTTAGTAGTTTGGAGTATAACCCTAGATTCTGCATTTCCTTTTTTTTTTTTTTTTTTCTGAGACAGAGTCTTTCTCTGTCGCCCAGGCTGGAGTGCAGTGGCATGGTCTCGGCTCATGGCAACCTCAGCCTCCCGAGTAGCTGGGATTACAGGCATGTGCCACCACGCCCGGCTTTTATTTGTGTGTGTGGTTTTAGTAGAGACGGGGTTTCACCATGTTGTCCAGGCTGGTCTCGAGCTCCTGACCTCATGATCCGCCCGCCTTGGCCTCTCAAAGTGCTGGGATTATAGGCATAAACCACCACACCTGGCCTAGATTCTGCATTTCTAACAAGCTCCCAGGTGATGCTGCTCTGGTCCTTGGACAAAACTGAGTAACAGGGCTCTAAATAACCTACAGGAAAAGGAGAAATATCTAACTCTTATCAATATAGGCTGAATGTTTCTGCCTTTTCTCCCTTTGGCTCCCAAACAGGTTTAAGTCAATTTCTGATATTGGGCCTTTGCAAATATAAACCTTATGTAGAAGAAAGAGGGCAATACAAGACCAGTGTTGAAATATTCATAAATGAGTTAATAGCAATAACCTTTAATCTTGCCATTAAATTTTCTTAGTGTTTTATTTTCTATATTTTAGGAGTTGGATGTGTCAATTTGTTCTTCACTCTGAGTTTAGATTCTTGGTCAGAAGAGATGGAATATTTAATTTGAACATGTTTTACAGCTCTTTAATTTACTTGCAGGCATTGATCAATATGACAGAGATAGCATCATAAATGACTTTAAGAACGGGACCTGCAAACTTCTTGTGGCTACGTCTGTTGCTGCCCGAGGTCTAGATGTGAAACATCTGATTCTTGTAGTAAATTATAGCTGCCCCAACCATTATGAGGATTATGTACACAGAGCAGGGCGGACTGGAAGAGCAGGCAACAAGGTAAAAATAAGTTTTTTATAGTTGATCTTCATTATATTAAAATACAAGTGTTTCTTTAGTATTTCAAGGAGTAGATAATAGGAGTTATGGAGACATTTTGAAAATCTTTAATCCACGTAGTGTGAAGAGTGGTTGATGTTAATAATTTATATACATGTACAGGTCTAAGTATTGTTCAGATTATCAGATACCTAGCTGCTCTTTATAGGCGGATCCTGTTAACAGTTTGTCTCCCCTTTTAGATTTTCCCCTCATGCCTAGAAATTTGTATACAGATGTTCCTTGATTTATGATGGGGTTACAATGTCCCGATAAACCCATCATAAGTTGAAAATGCGTTTAATATACCTGACCTACTAAACATCATAGTAGTCTAGCCTACCTTCAGCATGCTCAGAACACTTATATTAGCCTATACTTGGGCATAATCATCTAACACAAAGCCTATTTTATAATAAAGTTTTGAATATCTCATGTAATTTACTAAATACTGGAAGTGAAAAACAATGGTTGTATAGGTACTCAAAGTACAATTTCTACTGAATGCGTATCACTTTTGCATCATGGTAAAGCTGAAAAATTATAAATTGAATCATTGTAAGTCAGGGACCATCTGTATACACAGACACATACATGTTTATACTTCAGGAACATTTTTAAAAAAACATGGGATCATAAAATATACCCCTCTCCACACCTACCAATTTCTCCTCCTCCCCTCTTTACCTCCCTATCATTCATACGAATATATATTACTTGCTTTTTTGACTCACCTGTATTCTAGAAACTGTATAGGTCTAACTCATTCCTTCTAGAGGCAGCAGACTATTCTGTTGTTGGAGACATTGATTATGATATATTTAATTTTCTAACCCTGTACATTGCATAATAAAGCAATAAATAATATTTATATGTCATAGCTTACATTAATGGATGATGTATTATCTGTCATATATAATGTCATTTTAAGTGTTTTACATATATAATGTCATTTTATCCTTACATATATAATGTCATTTTATCCTTAGAACTGTTTAAGTGTTTTACATATATAATGTCATTTTATCCTTAAAACTTTGCTTTGAGGTAGATGATACTACTCTATTTTATAGATGAGAAAAATTCTTGCAAATAGAATTTAGCTCACCTGCTTATACACATTTAATAAGTAGTGATGGCATTTATTCTTTTAACCTATTGGGAGGAGTCAAGAATATTTTTTTGTAAAGGGCCATGTATTAAAAATTGTAACCTAGCCGGGCGCGGTGGCTCAAGCCTGTAATCCCAGCACTTTGGGAGGCCGAGACGGGCGGATCACGAGGTTAGGAGATCGAGACCATCCTGGCTAACACGGTGAAACCCCGTCTCTACTAAAAAATACAAAAAATTAGCTGGGCGAGGTGACAAGTCGCCTGTAGTCCCAGCTACTCGGGAGGCTGAGGCAGGAGAATGGCGTGAACCCGGGAGGCGGAGCTTACAGTGAGCTGAGATCCGGTCACTGCACTCCAGCCTGGGCGACAGAAAGAGACTCTGCCTCAAAAAAAAAAAAAAAAAAATTGTAACCTATTTGGGCTCTGTTGCATATTCTTTTCTTTCTCTCTCCTTCTCTATGTACATGTGTTATTGTGTGTATGTTCATAACCCTATAAAACTGTAAATACTTGTGGCCCTGTAGCAGTACAAAAGCAGACCATGGGTCAAAGGCGGTGGCTATTTAGACATTTCTGAATTAAAATCTTAAACCATGTTTTAAAATTCATAACAGTTGGCTGGGCACGGTGGCTCACGCCTGTAATCCCAGCACTTTGGGAGGCCAAAGCGGGTGGATCACCTGAGGTCAGGAGTTTGAGACCAGCCTGACCAACATGGAGAAACCCTGTCTCTACCAAAAAAAATAAATACAAAATTAGCTGGGCGTGATGGCATATGCCTGTAATCCCAGCTACTCGAGAGGCTGAGGCAGGAGAATAGCTTGAACCCGGGAGGCAGAGGTTGCGATGAGCTGAGATTGTGCCATTGCACTCCAGCCTGGGCAACAGGAGCAAAACTGTGTCTCAAAAAAAAAAAAAAAAAAAAAAAAAATTGTAGCAGTTGACTGTTTGGGTCAGATTTTTTTTGTTTTGTTTTGTTTTTTACATTTTTGTGGAGATAAGGTCTTGCCATTTTTGCCCAGGCTGGCCTCAAACTCCTAGGCTCAAGCTGTCTTTCCACATCTGCCTCCCCAAGTGCTAGGATTGCACGTGTGAGCCATTGCGCCCAGCAAGGTCATATTGTTTTGTGAAGATAGTAAACTCTAGCGAGACTCCATCTCAAAAAGAAAAAAAAAAAAAGGAAAGACAAAATCAATAGGTATGACCACACAATTGTGCATTTGTGTAAAATTACATGTTTCTTTTTCTTTTCTTTTCTTCTTTTTTTTTTTTCTTGAGATGGAGTTTCACTCTTGTCACCTAGGCTGGAGTGCATTGGTGCCATATCAGCTCACTGCAACCTCTGCCTCCCAGGGTCAAGCGATTCTCCTGCGTCAGCCTCCCAAGCAGCTGGGATTACAGGCGTGCACCACCACACTTGGCTCAATATTTTTTTTTGAGACGGAGTCTCGCTCTGTCGCCCAGGCTGGAGTGCAGTGGCCGGATCTCAGCTCACTGCAAACTCCGCCTCCCGGGTTCACGCCATTCTCCTGCCTCAGCCTCCCGAGTAGCTGGGACTACAGGCACCCGCCAGTTTGCCAGGCTAGTTTTTTGTATTTTTAGTAGAGACGGGGTTTCACCGTGTTAGCCAGTATGGTCTCGATCTCCTGACCTCGTGATCCGCCCGTCTCGGCCTCCCAGAGTGCTGGGATTACAGGCTTGAGCCACCGCGCCCGGCAATTTTTTTTGTTTTTAGTAGAGACGGGGTTTCACCATGTTGGTCAGGCTGGTCTTGAACTTCTGACCTCAAATGATCCACCCCCTTTGGCCTCCCAAAGTGCTGGGATTACAGGCATGAGCCACTGTGTCCAGCCAATTGCATATATTTCTACCTCTGTATAAAGAAATTAGAAATTTTCTAATTTGCTTGTGTTATTTTAAAATATTAAACTTGGGCTGGGCATGATGGCTTTTGCCTGTAATCCCAGCACTTTGGGAGGCCGAGGCGGGTGGATCACCTGAGGTCAGGAATTGGAGACCAGCCTGGCCGACATGGTGATACCCCGTCTCTAATAAAAGTACAAAAAATTATCTGGGCATAGTGGCAGGCGCTTATAATCCCAGCTACTCGGAAGGCTGAGGCAGGGGAATAGCTTGAACCCGCGAGGCAGAGGTTGCAGTGAGCTGAAACTACACCACCGCACTCCAGCCTGGGCAACAGAGCGAGACTCCATCTCAAAAAATAAAAAATAAATAAATAAAAATTAAACTTGAATATTTCACTTTGAACCATTGAGTAATTTAGTAAGACTCTTTTGTGACTTTTAAAATTCTTCAGTAATGTTGTCAATCTCGAGGATTTATTAAGTGGATCAGCTTTTATCTTGTGATGTAAGTAGGATCCATCTTGTTAGTGTCTAATAATTGCACTTTTTCGTCATTCATTAGGGTTATGCTTATACTTTTATCACAGAAGATCAAGCTCGCTATGCTGGTGACATAATTAAAGCTCTTGAATTGTCAGGGACCGCAGTACCTCCTGATTTAGAGAAACTGTGGAGTGATTTCAAAGATCAGCAGAAAGCTGTGAGTTTTTTAACCCATGTCACTCTTTTAGAAATCATTAATGTGACTCAACCTTGATTATTTAATTCTTGGAAATCTTTTTTACTTAATACTTGGAAATTTTGATAGTACTATTTTTATTTCTCTTCAGAGAGGGAAAAATGAAAGCTAAAATCCTATCTTTTTCTTGAACTTAGTATTTTGTGGTGTCTATGTAGAGCTCTTAGTTTATCTTACATGCTGGATGAACTGTTTTTATTACATTGACATACACCACCTTGAAAAATATTTAATTAGTATGAATTCCTAAACATTAAAGTTATTACTATGAGATTAACTTTGTTTTCTTTCTTTGAAAGGAGGGGAAAATAATTAAAAAGAGTAGTGGGTTCTCTGGTAAGGGATTCAAGTTTGATGAAACAGAACAAGCTTTGGCTAATGAGAGGAAGAAGTTACAAAAAGCAGCTCTTGGTCTGCAAGATTCAGATGATGAGGATGCTGCAGTTGACGTAAGTACTGTTGTTCTCTCATTCTTAACTGAAGCAGTTATTTCTTTTGTACTGGAGGTCTTGCCATGTGCTTATCAAGATAGACAATCATTGGAAATCTTCTTTACAAGAGGATGGTTTCAGAATAGTTTTGGAAAAATCTGCCTAGTGCATACCAATACCCCTCCTCTCAATATATAGACCACTCATTAGCACTTCAAAGGATGTGAAAGTCTTTTTTTTTTTTTTTTTTGAGATGGAGTTTCGCTCTGTTGCCCAGGCTGGAGTACAGTGGTGTGATCTCCACTCACTGTAACCTCCGCCTCCCAGGTTCAAGCAATTCTCCTGCTTCAGCCTCCTGAGTAGCTGGGATTACAGGCGTCCACCATGACGCCCGGCTAATTTTTGTAGTTTTAGTAGAGACAGGGTTTCACCTTCTTGGCCAGGGTGGTCTCAGACTCCTGACCTCAAGCGGTCCGCCCTCCTCGGCCTCCCAAAGTGCTGGGATTACAGGTGTGTGCCACCTCACTCAGCCATGGATGTGAAAAGTCTTTAAGGAATCTTGTTTAACTTTGTTAAACCCAGAAGTTCCCCAACATATCTCATCACAGAACACTTTTGGACATATCATGTTAAATAAATTTAAGTTCAGAAAACAATGTTGGAAATCAGAAATTCAATCTGATCTTGTCATTAGGAAATTGACTCCAAGACAAGATGTTAGGTCCAGGACCACGGTGGGAGTTACAGTCAGGACCAGAACCCAGGTGTCCTATTAACCTTAAGCCATTTCTTTCTAGGATACCATACTAGCTCAAAAAATTAGCCCGGCGTGTCTTGCTCTGTCACCCAGGCTGGACTGCAGTGGCACAGTCTCAGTTCACTGCAACTTCTGCCTCCTGGGTTCAAGTGATTCTCCTGTTTCAGTCTCCCGGGTAGCTGGGATTACAGGCACCCGCCACCACACTGGGCTGATTTTTGTATTTTTAGTGGAGATGGGGTTTCACTATGTTGGCCAGGCTAGTCTCAAACTCCTGACCTCAGGTGGTCCACCCACCTTGGCCTCCCATAGTGCTGGGTTTATAGGTGTGAGCCACTGTGCCTGGCCAATAAAGTCTTTTTTTTTTTTTTTTTTTTTTTTTAAAAGACAGAGTCTCACTCTGTCACCAGACTGGAGTGCAGTGGCTCAATCTCGGCTCACTGCAACCTCCACCTCCCAGGTTCAAGCAATTTTCCTGCCTCAGACTCCCAAGTAACTGGGATGACAGGCATGCGCCCCATGCCTGGCTTATTTTTTTTTGTATTTTTACTAAAGATGGGGTTTCATCATGTTGGCCAGGATAATCTTGATCTTTTGACTTCGTGATCCACCCGCCTTGGCCTTCCAAAGTCTTGGGATTCACCTGGCCAAATTTCATTTTTTTAATTTATCTGTTACCATGTAACAAATCAAAACTTAACAGGTTAAAGCAATAAACATTTATTATCACATAGTTCCTGCGGGTCAGGAAGTCAGGAGCAGTTTAGTCAGGTAGTTCTGGCTTAGGCGCTCATGGGATTGCAGTCATCTGCAGGCTTGACTGTTGCTGGATGATCTGTTTCCAAGATGGCTCATTCACTTTGATGTTGATAGGATGCCTCACAGTTTTTCACCACTTTGCCTGTCCTTACGCACATGGCAGATGGCTTTCCCCACAGTGAGTGATCCAAGAGAGAGAGCAAAGAGAAAGCTTTTTAGTGCTTTTTATGACTAGTCTCTGAAATTACACACTGTCACTTCCACTTTATTCTTTGTGGAGTTTGTTTTTCTCTTGTTTGTTTTGTTTTGGAGACAGAGTCTGACTCTGTTGCCCAGGCTGGAGTGTAAGTGGTGTGAACTCAGCTCACTGCAGCCTCTGACTCCCGGGCTCTAGCAATCTTCCCACCTCAACCTCCTGAGTAGCTGGTACTATAGGTGCACCACCATGCCCTGTTAATATATATTTGCAAATGTATTTTAGAGTTGAGGTCTCATTATATTGCCTAGGCTGGTCTCAAATTCCTGGGCTCAAGTGATCCTCCTGCCTCAGCCTCCCAAAGTGATGGTATTACAAACATGAGCCACCATGCCCAGCCTACTTTATTGTATTAGAAGGAAGTCATTAGGTCCAGCCCACACTCAGGAAAAAAGACTATTAAATAATTTGTAGCCATGTTTTAAAAACACCTGTCACTTTTTGACATTATGGTAGTTTTATCTGTGGTTTTAGTTGCCATAGGTTAACCACAGTCTGAAACTATTACAGTGTTTTGAGACCACATTCATATAACTTTTATTACAGTATATTGTTATAATTGTCCTATTTTATTGTTGTTAATCTCTTACTGTACCTAATTTATAAATTAAACTTTATCATAGGTATGTATGTATAGGAAAAAAACAATGTATGTCAGTGCGGTACTATCTGTGTTTTTAGGCATCTACTGAGGTTCTTGGAATGTATCCCATGTATATAAGGGAAAACTGCAGTATTTTTAACTGTTTTTTAAAATCTCATGATAACATATGGTGATTGTTTCTTCAGGTGTTAAAATAACATATAATTTTATGAAAAATGTAAACAGTACTAAACATGAATAAAATCAACAGTAAGGTTAGCTCTACCAGCTAGCATTGTATACTTCCCCCATTCCTGATTTCATGAATTTGTTCAGATTGTAATACCATGAACGCTATTTAATTTAAAACAGTTTTACTCAGGTAAATGTTGAGTTTTAAAACTAGTTGATAACTAACCCCCTGCTGGTGTTTTTTAGGGGTTTTGTTTTGTTTTGTTTTTATGAGACAGGATCTCACTCTGTCAACCAGGCTGGAGTACAGCTTCTTTTTCTTGGAAGCTTATTTGTGTGTGATCTTGGCTCACTGTAGCCTTGACCTCCTGGGCTCAGGTGATTCTCCACCTTAGCCTTCTGAATATCTAGGACTACAGGCATGTGCCACCATGCCTGATTAACTTTTATATTTTTTGTAGAGACAAGGTTTCACCATGTTGCCCAGGCTGGTCTTGAACTCCTGGGCTCAAGTAATCCTCCTGCCTTGGACTCCCAAAATGCTGGGATTATAGGTATGAGCCATTATGCCTGGCCATAACTAAAACCCTTTAATAGGTAATAAATGTTTTAAGAAGAATCTAAGGCTGGGTGTAGTGGCTCCTGGCCTGTAATCCCAACACTTTGGAAGGCCAAGGTGGGAGGATAGCTTGAGTCCAGGAGTTCAAGACCCTCCTAGACAACATAGTGAGACCCTGTCTCTATAAAAAGTTGTTTAAAAATTAGCTGGACATGATAGTGCACGCTGTGGTCCTAGCTACTTGGGAGGCCGAGGTGTGAGGAACCTTTGAGCCTGGGAGTTAGAGGCAACCCTGTCTCAAAAAAATACAAAAGCTAAATGCACTGTTTTTATTTCAGTAAAAGAGCGTTGTAAATTAACCAGTTGATTTTTAAGCCCTAAATAAGCTTTTCTGTGCATTTGAGATCTAGAAGATACAGCTTTATTAATCTAATGTAAATTTTTGAAGGGGCTTGTATTTCTGTAGTCAGTGATGTCAGTAGTCATTGTTGGGCAAAAGACATTTTTAAAAAGAAATGCACATAGCAGGCCAGGAGCGGTGGCTCACGCCTGTAATCCCAGCACTTTGAGAGGCTGAGGCGGGCAGATCACGAGGTCAGGAGATCGAGACCATCCTGGCCAACACGGTTTCCGTCTCTACTAAAAATTCAAAAAATTCGCTGGGCGTGGTGGCAGGCGCCTGTAGTCCCAGCTACTCTGGAGGCTGAGGCGAGAGAATGGCATGAACCCGGGAGGTGGAGCTTGCAGTGAGCCGAGATTGCACCACTACACTCCAACCTGGGTGACAGAGTGAGACTCCGTCTCAAAAAAAAAAAAAAAAAGAAATGCACATAGCAGTAGGGCTCACGTGATTCCTGTTAAAGCAAAGCTTTCATCATGGCACTTGCCTTGATGGGGAAACAACCTGCATTTCTTTGCTTTCTTGATTCAAAGGGTTAAGGGAATAAGCCTTTTCTGGTTCAGTTAGCCAGTTTTTAAGGCAAATCCAGTTGGATTTTATGGGTTGGGAAGAGTTTTGAGAGCTTTGCCTTAGGAACATGTTATACCACTCCCCCTGAGAATTATTGACTATATTTTTAGTTGGCCACTGACCTTGAGTTATAGCCCTTTTTCCAGCCTCTTTCATTGCAGTATAATTTGGTCTCAAGGCCTGAGCCCTGGGGCAAGTCAGCTGCATCGTATTGGCTGTTCTGTCTTGACAGCACGTTTCCCCATCTATTGAACAAGGATGAAGTTTCTGGTCCTCTTAGGAGTCTGATGACGTGGTTCATGCAGTGTTCTTTCTCTGTTTTCTATTTTTCTCCCCACCATAGATGAAAATGAAACGTGACTTTTAACAAATAGGTGGTATATTATCCCACTGATCTGTGTGGTAGGATTTGTGTAAATACAACTATCTGATTCCAGCCTTTTGGTGGAAACATTCCTTATTTATTTCTGTAGAATAACTTAATTTGGTATTTCTAGTTCAGTTTTTTACTAGTCCTTTTTTTCCTTTTGATCTAGATTGATGAGCAAATTGAAAGCATGTTTAATTCAAAGAAGAGAGTAAAGGATATGGCTGCTCCTGGAACATCAAGTGTTCCTGCTCCAACTGCAGGAAATGCTGAGAAATTAGAAATTGCTAAGAGATTGGCTCTCAGAATCAATGCCCAGAAGAATTTGGGCATCGAGTCTCAGGTATTAAGTAATTTGTTCCAAGTCTCAGTCAATACTTTTAAGAAGTTCTTTGATTTTACTTTTCAGGAATTATGTTGAGCACAAGTAAACAAATTGTCCTAGACATTGAGTTTGTGAGAATTTAACATTCTCAATACAGAACTTTTTGATAATTGCATTTTGATGATTTCTCTAGTGCTATTAACTGAGGACTTTATGCCTATTCTAGAATTTCTGTTAGCCATAGGTAGTTTTATAGAGTAGTATTCTGATGGGTCTTAACAAAATCTTAAAGACGTATTAATAATTATCTTTTTCTTTCTTTATCTGCTTTTGTTGGGTAGGTTATTGGGCACACAACTCCCTGGATATACAAACACCCAGTTACATGACTCAAATTAGTATGGGCTTAAACAATGGAGAAACGTGATTTTTAAATATTTCACATGTTATCTTTTTCTTGGAAGCTTATTTGTTATTTTGAAGCTTTTGAGACTGTCATTAGCTATAATGTTTGTAATGTTGGGTTGGGTCATAGAGATGAAGGAGCTCAGTGATGGTAGTAGTACAAACATTCAAATTCGAAGGGAACTCCTAGGAGTTAGAGTATGCAGATGATTTTGGAAATATTTACTGTGTCTGACCTCAAGAGTTAGCTAATTATCAACTACATCTCTATGATCTAGTAGAATATTTAATAGAGAGTTGAATGTTCTCCAGTTTTCTTATCCACAGGGAGATACTTTAAACCATATTATAAATATGTATTGCTAAATCACACATATCAATGAGACTATGCCTTAGAAAGGTGTTTGTTTATTAAACTTGCATACAAAGTTAGTAGCTTTTCGGAGAATAATTTGTGGTGGGGTCCCTACTCTTGTCTCTTCCCTCATTTGAGATTTAACTAAGTCTTCTTTAACTATAGGATGTGATGCAACAGGCCACCAATGCAATTCTTAGAGGTGGCACCATTCTGGCTCCCACTGTTTCTGCAAAAACCATTGCAGAACAACTTGCGGAAAAGATCAATGCCAAGCTCAATTATGTGCCTTTAGAGAAACAAGAAGAAGAGAGACAGGATGGTGGACAGAATGAATCTTTTAAGAGATACGAAGAAGAATTAGAGATCAATGACTTCCCACAGGCAAGTAACAGGTTTAAACCTTTTTTTATTGTGAAGTAGAAACTCTTCTTTTTTCTTTTCTTTTTTTTTTTTTTTTTGAGACGGAGTCTTGCTCTTTCACCCAGGCTGGAGTGCGGTGGCCAGATCTCAGCTCACTGCAAGCTCCGCCTCCCGAGTTCACGCCATTCTCCTGCCTCAGCCTCCCGAGTAGCTGGGACTACAGGCGCCTGCCACCTCGCCCGGCTAGTTTTTTGTATTTTTTAGTAGAGACGGGGTTTCACCGGGTTAGCCAGTATGGTCTCGATCTCCTGACCTCGTGATCTGCCTGTCTCGGCCTCCCAAAGTGCTGAGATTACGGGCTTGAGCCACCGCGCTCGGCGAAACTCTTCTTTTTTTAAATTATTTTTATTTTTATTTTTATTTATTTATTTATTTATTTATTTTTATTTTTTTGAGACGGAGTCTCGCTCTGTCGCCCAGGCTGGAGTGCAGTGGCCAGATCTCAGCTCACTGCAAGCTCCGCCTCCCGGGTTCACGCCATTCTCCTGCCTCAGCCTCCCGAGTAGCTGGAACTACAGGCGCCCGCCACCTCGCCTGGCTAGTTTTTTGTATTTTTCAGTAGAGACGGGGTTTCACTGTATTAGCCAGGATGGTCTTGATCTCCTGACCTCGTGATCCACCTGTCTCGGCCTCCCAAAGTGCTGGGATTACAGGCTTGAGCCACGGCGTCCGGCTGAAACTCTTCTTTAGGAGGAAAAATCTCATCTTTAAAACCCATGAACATTTTAGTAGCTCTTTCACTTTTTACCTAAACGAAGGCTATAACAATAGAAATTTGATTTTTATGAATATGTTCAAGGTACATTAGGCTCTAAATGAACTTATGATGCAGGTATGTATTAATAATGATCTTAGCTTTTTTTTGTTTTTTTGTTTTTTTTTGAGACGGAGTTTTTGCTCTAACTGCCTAGGCTGGAGTACAATGGTGCGATTTGACTCACCACAACCTCTGCCTCCAGGTTCAAGCGATTCTCCTCCCTCAGACTCCCGAGTAGCTGGGATTACAGGCATGCGCCACCATGCCCAGCTAATTTTTGTATTTTCAATAGAGACGTTTCACCCTGTTGATCAGGCTGGTCTCAAACTCCTGACCTTCGGTCATCCGCCCACCTCGGCCTCCCAAAGTGCCGGGATTGCAGGCATGCACCACCACGCCTGAGTAATTTTTGTATTTTTAGTAGAGATGGAGTTTCTCCATGTTGGTCAGGCTGGTCTTGAACTCCTGACCTCAGGTGATCCGCCATCTTAACCTCCCAAAGTGCTGGAATTACAGGCGTGAGCCACCATGCCCGGCCAATAGTGATCTCAGTATTGACCATAGGGCCGGGCATTGTGGCTCTCGCCTAGGAATCTCAGCGCTTTGGGAGGCTAAGGCGGGCGGATCACCTGAGGTTGGGAGTTCGAGACCAGCCTGACCAACATGGAGAAATGCCATCTCTACTAAAAATACAAAAATTAACCTGGCGTGGTGGTGCATGCGTGTAATCCCAGCTACTCGGGAGGCTGAGGCGGAAAATCGCTTGAACCTGGGAGGCAGAGGTTGCAGTGAGCTGACATTGCGCCATTGCACTCCAGCCCGGGCAACAAGACCGAAACTCTGTCTCAAAAAAAAATACTGACCATAATATGATACCAACCAGCCTAGTCATTGTCAGCACTCCTGGATTTTTTTGTCCTGTTGTGAAGTGGTTTTTCTTTTCCTTACCTTTTCTTTTAGACTGCTAGGTGGAAAGTTACCTCTAAGGAAGCTCTACAGAGGATCAGTGAATACTCTGAAGCCGCAATTACAATCAGAGGAACATACTTCCCTCCTGGTAAAGAACCCAAGGAAGGCGAGCGGAAGATTTACTTGGCTATTGAAAGTATGTATTGTTGGTTGTTTCAATCTTGAATTTAGATCAAGGTTAATGTAGATGTAATAAACACAAAGAGCATGCGAGGTAAATTCTAGAGAGAACTGGAAGTAAGGAACACCTCTGAAAAAAAAAAATCTCATGACATTTGAGGTCTTTATTTAGAAGAATTTCAGTACACATGCAAAGGTCAATGATCTGTTTGTGAGACTCAGTTTTGGCAATTTAGTCAAATTTGAAAAATAAAACAAAACTTATATTTTAAGGACTGACCTGTTTATGCTTCTGGTAAGTGGAATATTCTGGCCTAAGTTTAGGTTGGGAAGTAAATCAAATGTTTTAGTCCACTTAATGAATGTTTATCTAGGCAAATATTGCCTGTGAAATTATGCCCATGAAAGTTTATACCTTTAACAAAATAACAAGTAGAGAAATACATTATCTAACAGCAACCAGGTTTGGTTTTTAACTTTATTTCATACATTCATGAATGAATTCATTCCAGAGGCAATTTCCATCTTTATTTATTTTGAGACGGTCTTATTTTGTCACCCAGGCTGGAGCGCAGTGGCACAGTCTCAGCCCACTGTAGCCTCAACCTTCTGGGCTCAAGTGATCCTCCCACCTCAACACCCCTAAGTAGCTGGGACTACAGTAACGTGTCAACACACCTGGCTTATTTTTTTGTCCTTTTTGTAGAGAAGGGGTTGTGTTATGTTGCCCAGACTGGTCTCGAACTCCTGAGCTCAAGGGACCCGCCCCCGCTCAGCCTCCCAAAATGCTAGGATTACAGTCATGAGCCATTGTGCCCAGCCTATTTTATTTTTTCTGATGTGTTACTCTGCTGCATAGTAGGACACCTTGTCACTATTTATGTTTTTGATTTTTGTTTTGTTTTGTTTTTTCCGCCAAGACGGAGTCTTGCTCTGTTGCCCAGAGCTGGAGTGCAGTGGCATGATCTTGGTTCACTGCAACCTCCACCTCCTGGGTTTAAGCAGTTCTTCTGCCTCAGCCTCCCGAGTAGCTGGGATTATAGGCATGCGCCACCACGCCAGGCTCATTTTTGTATTTTTAGTAGAGACTGGGTTTCACCATGCTGGCCTGGCTGGTCTCGAACTCCTGACCTCATGGTCCACCCGCCTTGGTCTCCGAAAGTGCTGGGATTACAGGCATGAGCCACCGTGCCCTGCCTACTTTATTTATGTTTAATCTGAACATCTTCGTTAATTGACATTTTAAGTGGTTTTTCTTTTTATTTTCTGGCATCATATGTAATGGAAGCAAGACAGAACTAGACTGTTAGATAATAGAACCATCTGTTCTGGCTTCATTTCCTTGACACCATAGCATTGTTGTCAGTACAGGGTTCAGCGCTCTATCGCCCAGGCTGGAGTGCAGTGGCACGATCTTGGCTTATTACAACCTCCGCCTCCAGGGTTCACACGATTCTCATGCCTCAGCCTCCTGGGTAGCTGGAACCGTAGGCATGTGCTACCACACCTGGCTAATTTTTGTATTTTTGGGTAGAGATGGGGTTTCACCATGTTGGCCAGGCTGGACCTCTTTCTTTTTGATTGTACTGTCTCCATTTGGAATTATTTTTAAAATCTGTAGCAGTGTTTTGCTATTTAGGACTTACATTAAGGTAAAATTCATATAGCAAAAGTTTGTCCATTTTAACCATTATACAGTTCAGTCTTCAGTGAAACTTACAGGATTCAGTGAAAGCAGTGCTTACAGAGAAATTTTTAGCTGTAAATGCCTGCATTATAAAAGATCTCAGTTACTGCCTTTTCTGTGTTAATCTTTTCCTTTCCTTTCCCCTCTCCTTTCCTCTCCTCTCCTTTCCTTTCTCCTCTCCTTTCCTTTCTCCTCTCCTTTCCCCTCTCCTCTCCTCTCCTCTCCTCTCCTCTCCTTTCTCCTTTCCTTTCTCCTTTCCTTTCCTTTTCCCTTTCCCTTTCCCTTTCCGAGACAAAATCTCACTCTGTCTTGTAGGCTGGAGTACAGTGGCACAATCTAGACTCACTGCAACTCCCACCTCCAGGGTTCAAGTAATTCTCATACCTCAGCCTCCTGAGTAGCTAGGATTACAGGCACCCCCCCACCATGCCCAGCTAGTTTTTGTTTTTTTTAGTAGAGATGAGGTTTCACCCTGTTGGTCAGGCTGATCTCAAACTCCTGACCTCAGGTGATCCACCTGCCTTGGCCTCCCAAAGTGCCGGGATTACAGGTGTGAGCCGCTGCGCCCCACCGTGTCAGAGCAATATTTTCTTGTGTGCCATTTTGATTTACTCTTGTTTCTGGGTTTTTTTTGTTTTTTTTGTTTTTTTTTTTTTTTTGAGACGGCGTCTCACTCTGTCGCCCAGGCTGGAGTACAGTGGCACAGTCTTGGATCATTGCAAGCTCCACTTCCTGGGTTCACGCCATTCTCCGGCCTCAGCCTCCCGAGTAGTGGGGACTACAGGCGCCCACCACCACGCCCGGCTGATTTTTTGTATTTTTTAGTAGAGACGGGGTTTTACCATGTTAGCCAGGATGGTCTCGATCTCCTGACCTCGTGATCCACCCGTCTTGGCCTCCCAAGGTGCTGGGATTACAGGCGTGAGCCACTGTGCCCGGCCAATATTTTAACTGCTTGTCTTATAAAGAGGCAAATGAGAGACACGATTATTTACTTTGAAAAAGGATTCTTTTCGTAATTCATTTATTAATTTAAATGCAATGTTTGCTTGGTATGGTATAGTTGATATATCAAACTTCAGTTTATGTGTAACTTTATCAGAACACATCTTTACTACCAAGTGATGTGAAGTGAGATATTCACTGATTCCACAGCTCTGATGTAGTTTTCCTTTCATCCAGAATGGTTCTGGTCATTTGTCTCCACTGTCAATTTACACTCAGGAAATAACATCTAATTTTTATAATAATCTAAGCAGGTCTCCCCAGTAAAAAGGCAACTTTGTTGAAAGCAAATCTTAAGAATAATCTAGAAATATAATGATAATTTCTGGGCACGGTGGCTCACGCTTATAATCTTAGCAGTTTGGGAGGCCGAAGTGGGTGGATCACAAGGTCAAGAGTTTGAGACCAGCCTGGCCAACATAGTGAAACCCTGTCTCTACTAAATACAAAAATCAGCCAGGCATGGTGGCGGGAGCCTGTATCCCAGCTACTCGTGAGGCTGAGGCAAGAGAATTGCTTGAAACCAGAAGGCAGAGGTTGCAGTGAGCTGAGATGGCGCCACTACACTTCAGCCTGGGCAAAAACAGCGAAACTGCATCTCAAAAAAAAAAAAAAAGAAATATAATGATACTGAATAAGAGCTAGGGTTTGGTAATTTAAATGATCTAAAGCTTTTAGAATTTTCAGAGGTAATTAGATTTTTTAAAGGATCATTTACTTTTGGAAACTCCAAACTCAACTAAACACTTAACAGGATGAAAACAGGTGTTGCTACTGTGGAAGGAGCCTAGTGTCATCTGTTTCTAGTTCTGTAATTGGAGGGACCCCACTGCCTGGCTGGCTCCTTGGAGGCTCTGTTTGGGTCAGCAGCTCCGGGCGTCCCACCAGGCAAAGGGAAGGAGAACAGGAAGGACTTACATGCCTTGTCAGCCTGTATAATTTATATAGCCTATTCCATGACTCTCTCTTTTTACTAGTGGAGAATCCCTTAAAAGCAGCCAGAGTTGTTTTAGGACCAATGAAAGGAAATGCCCTTTTTTTCCTGGCTGCTTATAAACATATGTAACCTACTACAAGAAGTTACATAAGTCAGAATTTAAAGTGGTCGAAATTGTCGGGCTCTGACAAAAGTAGGAAAATTAATTTACCAGTTAAATCTAGGTGAGAGTGTCATTTTCCTTCTTTTTAAAGTTGCACAAAAGTATCAACAAACTTCACACCAACTCGTACCAAGCAATGTGTTTTCCTCCTAAATTTCATTTTTGTTGTAATTTTCAGTCTGACTTGGGTCTTGATTCTTCCGTTTCTTTTCCCTTCCGGCACTCACCTTCCCCACATAGTTTTATAATGTTGTGGTTCGTGGCTAGTGGAGGTAGAGGATTTAAATTAGATATGTTGCTATGACTTCATAGCCATAGCCTTGATTCTTTCCTTCCTGTCGTGAAACTGTTTCTGCCTCTCTTTCTGTCTCTGTCTCTGTCTCTCTCTGGGGACAGAAAAGTTACTTATTTATAATACGGGGGGAAATTTTCTAATTTATTATAAATCTTTCCCTCATTTGTGGTTTTTTTTGTTAATATACAAAATGATAAAAATATAGCTCTCTACATTGCAGACCCAGTGCTCCTTTTGTTCTTAGACATTTCAGTCTTTAGTTTTCTTTGATTAAGCTCTTTTTCTCTTCTCAGCGTGCAATGTGGTGCCTATCTGTACTTTCCTACTCACTGGTATTATCTATTGGCTCCAGATTCTACCCAGCCTACCCTTGATGGCTCTCTGATCTCTGCCACTTCTAAACTTCTAGTCCATATTTCCATTGGCCTCATTTATATTTTCAACTGGATGTCCAATGAGCACCTCAACTACAGCAATTTTAGAATTAAATTTCACCCAGTATCACTATCCAAAAAACACCTGTTTTTCCTCCTGGAATCAATATATTCTTTTATTACTTCTACTTTTTTTCACTTGCCAGCCAGCTCTTAATATCTTGTTTCTCTTTTCCACTGTTCACATCCCATCAGAAAAAATATCTTGTCCATTCTACCTCAAAAATGTGCTCTTGTGATGGTATAAATACAATATTGTGAGAACACTAAAGAAGAAAACACTTAACTGCCTCGAAGAGTCAGGAAAAGCTTCCTAAAAATGGTATTTAAAAGTGAATTTAGTAAACTACTTCCTATTCATCCTGTTGTAATGTCTTTACAAGTTTGTTTTGCTAATCTGTAAGCTTTTAAAGAGCATGAATTTGTTCTTTATATATTAAATCTCTCACAGTAAGTATGTGAGAGGCGAGTGCTTAATTTTTGTGAAATTAATAACTGTGAATGAATGTCTGCAGCGTACCTCATCTAGTCAACTATCTTGCCGTGTTCTTTCACACATTTTCCAACCAGGCTACACTTCTCTTACTCTTCAGTAATTAAGCATGCTTGTCTTAACTCTGTACCACTACATATGTAATTCTCCTTGCAAAATACTCTTCCTGGTATCTTTCCTCCCTCCAAATGGCTAGTTCTCCTTTCATTTTAAAGATTTTGTTCATACGTCACCCTTCTGAAACATTTGCAGACTTCAGTGTAAATAATAAATGTCTAATAAATACTTGCTAAATGAGTAAACCAAGGAAGTTATATTTCCCTGTAGCCTTCTCTTACTATCTTCTAGACAAATCGCTAATAGTCTTTTTATTCCACTCTTTTTAGTCACCATACTAGGAACTCTTAACACATAATATGACCTCAGCGGTTACATTTGAAACTCTGAAAGTAATCAAAATAATAAGCAGCCATTATATAATGTGGGTAATGTTCCACCAGGCATTAAATGGCCATCTTGGCAGGCAGTACAATGTTTCTAAAAGTCACCTACGGTGTTTCTTCGTGGACCTCCATGATATGGGTAAACACAGTGTAATTTTAGTAATGTGAATAATATGCTTTTCACTCAATCACCAGGTGCCAATGAACTGGCTGTGCAGAAAGCAAAGGCAGAAATCACCAGGCTCATAAAAGAAGAGCTGATCCGGCTGGTGAGTGAAAACCTTAAAGTTTCATTTGTTTTGTTTTAATAAGTGTTTTATTGAAATATAAATACAGACAAGTACGCAAATCATAAACATATAGTTTGATGAATTTTCACAAAGTAATAAGCATACCAGTGTAATTACTACCCAGATCAAGAAATAAAAAACATTACTAATATCCCAGAAGTCTTCTCCGTGTCCATTCTTATCACTATTCATCTCCCCGCAACAAAACCATACCTTGAATTTTTTTTTTTTTTTTTTTTTTAAGACGGAGTCTTGCCCTGTCATCTGAGCTGAAGTGCAATGGCGCGATCTCGGCTCACTGCAACCTCCACCTCACCCTCCTAAGTAGCTGGGATTACAGGTGCCTGTCACCACACCTGGCTAATATTTTGTATTTTTAGTAGAGACGGGGTTTCACTGTGTTGGCAAGGCTGGTCTTGAACTCCTGACCTCATGAGTCACCTGCCTCGGCCTCCCAAAGTGCTGGGATTACAGGCGTGAGCCACCTTGCCCAGCCCCATATTGTGAATTTTAAAATCATAGATTAGTTTTCCTTATTTTTGAACTCCACATAAGTGGAATCACGTGTTTGCACCTTTTGCATATAGTTTCCTTCAATCAACATTTTGAGGAGATCGGTGCGTGTTATTGCATATAGCAATAATTCACTCATTTTCGTGGCCATATAATATTTATATGAATGTATAACAGTTTATTTATATTTATATATTGGATTTGAGGGCTATTCCTTTTTTGTTTTTATGAATAACACTTCTGTGAACATTATTCCATGTGCATTTGGAATATATTAGCATGATTTTTTCTTGGGTATATACCTTGGAGTAGAATTGTTAATTATAGGCTAGGTATTGCCAGATAGTTTTCCAAAGAGGTTACATCAATTCACACTTAATCAAGCAGTGTATGAAAATTACAGTTGTTCTACATCTTTGCCAACACATGGTATTGTCAGTGTCTTTAAACTTAAACAATGACTTAATTTGATTTTGGAAAAAGCCCTTTACAGACTGCCTTTCCAGTGGAGGTAGATATGTCCTTGTGTCTTTAGTGCCGGTTGCAGCTTATGAACACTCCCTACAGTGTGTACATTTCCTTTGAAAGGAAACGTTGTCTTTTCTCTAAGTGTACTTCTGAGAACTTTTCTAAAACTCCCCTCAGAGAGCATTCCTTTTTTTGGCGGGAGGGGTTAGAAGTTTAATGAAAAGAGGGTTCACAAAACGAGGGGAAAAGTAAAACAGCTGTTCAATCACGTGCTTAAGACTATTTCAACAAGGAGTGATAGAAAAGAATCTTGTGCCCATAGATGCTACCACCATTAAGTTGATTTCAAAACACAGTTGTTAAGGAATAGTTAAGTGAACAGAGAAATCATTAGTTATTGAATAGTTTTTCCTTTCTCAGTGCAGTAATGTTAACATTTTAAATTTTAAATAACCAATAGTTTTATAAGTTAGCAAAAGAAATGATCTTAAATATTTCCCTTTTGGGTTTGTTTGGTTGGTTGGTTGGTTTTTTGTTGTTGTTGTTGTTTGTTTTGCTTTCTCTGATGACATATCTTTTATTTCCTATTACAGCAAAATTCATACCAACCAACAAATAAAGGAAGATACAAAGTCTTATAGACATCCGGAAAAAAGATTTTTACCTGTGCTGGTCTATGATAGATGTGGCAGTTGCAGTCTGCAGTTTACAATGTATTGTAAATTAAGATTTTTTAAAATTCTGTCTTGCTGATTTTTTTTAAATACAAGAAACTAGTATTTGGTAAAGAAATCTGTCCGTAAGTACCCCCACAATCAATCAAACTATATTTAAAGCTGGCCTGTTTTCAGAGTGTGATGTCCTTTAATGTAAACTTAAATATCAATATTTTAAATGTCCGGATAATATTCTAGAGGTTTAAAAAATGGAAATATTTGAACTTTCTATTGAAGACAATAAAGTACACAAGTCGTTAAGGGGCTATTCACTTTATCCTGTACTTTCAATGAAATTGTGATCATTTCCTAAGAAAAGGTAAAATTCACTATCTTATTTTGTGTCCCCACCTTGAGCTTAAATGTTACATGACTGTGTGGAACAATATGAACTGGATTTAAGAATGTTATAATAGAAGTCTTACAAAATAGGATGAGAGTTTTTGTTTCAATTTTTATCATCATAAATGGGCAAAAGTAGTTGGACTAATTTCGGTTTTTATACAAGTAAAGATTTAATAGTATAAGGATTTTTTGCATTTCTTTACACTGAGTGTAAAACTGTACAAAGAGTTTTAGTATTTACTACTTTGAGGTTCCCCTCACAACTTCTGGCTCCATACCTAGCTCCTCTTTTATAATCTCCCTTAAAAGAAAGAGTGTAGCCTATAAATATTAAATATAATAACTTTTCCTTCTAGAAAGTGTTTCTTTATACATCTATACATGTTGTATTTACAAATATCCTACTACTTTTAATCTGATTTTTCTTCAGGATTATTGAGTAGGTTGTGAATTTTCTTTCTCAAAAATTGTGAAACATAATGCTACCCAAGTTTTAAACTTAGATGTGCTTCATCTTAGTGAAATATAATTCACAAGGAATCATAAATTGTATTTTTGAGGCTGGGCGTAGTGGCTCACACATGTAATCTCAGCAATTTGGGAGGCCGAGGTGGGCAGATCACTTGAGATCAGAAGTTCAAGACCAGCCTGGACAACATGGCAAAACACTGTCTCTACTAAAAATGCAAAAATCAGTCGGCATGGTGGTAGGCGCCTGTAATCCCAGCTACTCAGGAGGCTGAGGCAGGAGAATCTGAGCCAGGATCACACCATTGCACTCCAGCCTGGGCAACAGAGTAAGACTATCTCAAAATAAATAAATTAATTAATTAATTAATTAATTCTATTTTTGAGCCTTTAAGATACAGTTCCTGAATATTCTAATTTAAATTGTTATAATTGGATTACCTAATATTCTTTTCAAGACTCCTGATGTATTCATGTTATTGTCACTTTTCAAAAAAGAACTTTTTTCAGGAGTTAAATAGATAAAGTCAGCCTTTTATATCCAAGGGTTTCATACCCACAGATTAAACCAACCACCGATCAAAAATAGAAAAAAAAAAGAAGAAAAAATAATGTAAAAAATTTAAAATACAGTTTAGCAGCTGTAAAACAGTTTTACTATAACATTTACATTGTGTTAGGTATTTTAAGTAAAAGTGAGTTAAAGTATACAGGAGGATGTGCATAGGTTGTATGCAAATAGCAAGCCATTTCATATAAGAGGCTTGAACATCCATGGATTTTGGTACAGAGAAGGGGTTTAAGGGGTGTCCTGCAGTCGGTCCCCCTCGGATACCAAAGGACGGCTGTGTGTTTCTTAAATGAAGAGACTTTCATTCTTTAAATATTCTTGACTTACAGTTTTTTAAAAAGAAAAAAAATAAAAGCATATTATAGTTGTTAAAACAAATAATTTTAATAGTATATTCAGTAGCTGAAGTGATAGGGAGTATTAATCATTATTTCTTCAGTATAAAGGTATTCTTCCTGAAAAAGTAAGATATGCCTGGGAAGTATTCTTGGATCCTTCACACATCCACTTAAATTCTTGAAGGAAGAAAACAGACAAAAGACATGTAACAACAAAAACAAATAAACCACTTACTGTAAAATTCCAGGAATTGTGGGCTCATTCCCTCCCTCTAGTTTATTTATTTGCTCATCATTATCACCTAGTGGTAGTTTGTTTTCTTTGGTAGAATATATGGCAGTCCCACATCAGTGATAATTGGTGCTCCCTTCATCCGACTGGATCACTTTGAGATTCAGTTTTACATCATTTTAGCATTTTCTTTGTGTTTGTATATCAGTTGTGATAAGCCACTGATACAATTTTGTTCTAAAATGAAACATATTACTTTGTTAGTACATTTTTTAGTGTCACACTGACTTAAAATTTGAATGATATACAGACTTTGTTTTTTTAATGCAATATGAATATTTGCTCATGTTTTCTAAATTCCTTATAAAATAAAATTAATTCGAATTCAATCTGGACTTTCTTAAAATTACCTTTCCTCAAATGCTTTTTCTTCTGTTTCTCTAATTTTGTTTATATTGGTGAGAGAAATATTGTACTCTCTGTATTTTTATTTTAAAAATTCTAGCAACTTATTACCCAAAGTATTTATAAGTCTGTTCCAAAAATGTCTTCCTGAAGACGCCTCTTAAGTCTTTTATGTTCATTGTATTTAGTGTAAGAGAAATATAGGTGAAATAATAGGTTCATTTGCCAGTTGGGGTTTTGCCACAGTGACACTCTTACAAAATGGATACGTAGGCTGGGTTCTGTGACTCATGCCTGTAATCCCAGCACTTTGGGAGGCCGAGGAAGGCGGATCACCTGGGGTCAGGAGTTCAAGACCAGCCTGACCAACATGGAGAGACCCCATCTCTACTAAAAATACAAAATTAGCCAGGTGTGGTGGCACATGCCTGTGATCCCAGCTACTCGGGAGACTGAGGTAGGTGAATCGCTTGAACCTGGGAGGCAGAGGTTGCAATGAGCCAAGATCATGCCATTGCACTCCAGCCTGGACAACAGGAGCGCAACTCAATCTCAAAAAAGAAAAAAAGAAAAAAAAAGGGGGATATGTAGAATGAAAGAATAGTAGCCAAGTTCTCCTTTACTCCTTTTGGACACTTCACTATTTGATATATTTCATGTCTCATTGCCTTTGTTGGTATACACAATGCACATGTGACTGATAGTCTTTTTTGGTTTTGTTTTGTTTTGCTTTTGTTTTTGAGACGGAGTCTTGCTCTGTTGCCCAGTCTGGAGTGCAGTGGCAATCTCAGCTCATTGCAACCTCTACCTCCCAGGTTCAAGTGGTTCTCCTGCCTCAGCCTCTTGAGTAACTGGGACTACAGGCACATGCCACAACACCCATCTAATTTTTTGTATTTTGAGTAGAGACGGGGTTTCACCATGTTAACCAGGATGATCTCAATCTCCTGACCTCGTGATCTGCCTGCCTCGGCCTCCCAAAGTGCTGGGATTACGGGCATGAGCCACCACACCCGGCCTAATCTTTGTTTTGAGTCAGGCAGTTCCTATGTATAGAATTGAAGGAGAACCAGCTATTGAATACTTAGGATTTATAAATCTTATTCAGCTAGCTGTGGAGTCAGCTTCTGAGTAACATAGCAGAATCTTGGGAAGCACAAACTAGGAAAACCACCAAAGTTGTAACTCAGCTGTTTCTGACCTCTTTTTACTCTTGGTGCCATGCTTTGATTTATAAAGCCATCAGCCAAAATCCTTTAGTGACAGATTAGCATATTGTTTAAAATAGGAGGTTGTGGGGAAATTGTTGTCTAAATGAAGTCTAGGATAAATAGCTACACTTATTTAGTAAAATGTGCCATTTTGCTGCTTTATAGATCATGCTAAGTTCTTTTTTTTTTTTTTTTTTTTTGAGATGGAGTCTCGCCCTTTTGCCCAGGCTGGAGTATAGTGGCGCAATCTCGGCTCCATGCAACCTCCGCCTCCCAGGTTCAAGTGATTGTCCTGCCATGGCCTCCTGAGTAGCTGGGGTTACAGGTACTCACCACCATGCCTGGTGAATTTGTATTTTGAATATGTGTTTTTATGGTAGAGACGGGGTTTCACCATGTTGGCCAGGCTGGTCTCGAACTCCTGACCTCAAGTGATCCACCTGCCTTGGCTTCCCAAAGTGCTGGGATTACAGGCGTGAGCCACGGCACCCGGCCAGATCATGCTAAGTTCTTAAAGCAGGCAAGAGTTCTGAGTGGCTAGCCCAATGTGGGCCATTCAAATACTCTTCCACTTAGATTTGAGTCTAGAGCTGTCAGTTCTTCACATTTTGGTACATAGTTTTACGTACGAATGAGAATCTACTGACATTTTCTCATGCCTGCTGCTTCTGGCGTACTAAAGCTTATCTTTTAAAAAGGTGCATGTGTGTTTATTTATGTGTGTTAAGTACCAGGAGTGAGAGAGTAAATGTATGTAGAGGGGTGAGGGAGAGTCTTAACTATTTAGTTTGGGTGTAACCATCAGAAAACAAACTTACTGGAGTGAGATGGTTAACTTGGAATATAGCGACATCTTATATACTGGTTAATGAAACATCTGCTCCACTCTTAGGTCAGCTCTCTGGAGCTAAAGACAGCTACGTTTCCCTTACCAGGTAAAAATTCCCTGATATGTTGACTGTTATGGATATTTGAAGGCCTTCTAAAAATATATATAAATTTATAATTTTTCTCAGGCAGGGATCCAAGTAGGAATGCAAAGAGAAAGTGTAAAGGTATTCTTCAGAAAGTCCCCACGATATTGACTTTCCCTTTGAAAAGTGCCTTATGGTTTAGCTGCTATGTGTGTGTGAGTGCATACTGTCAAGTTACATGACTGGTGAGGAATTTACTTTTGATTATTTTTCTTGAACTTGTTCTCTTCCAAATATGGCAACAACTTACAGGAGTTCATGATTTTTTTCAAACTCAAGCCTTAAGGAAGAAATTCTAACTTCGCATTAACCATGTTCTTTTGGGAAGAAAAAAAGTATGAAGTAAAAAGGGAAGTTTAACCTTTTGGGGGAATTGGAACTCAACATTACTCTCACATGTTAAGATTACTTTAAAAGATAGAATTTCAGAATTTAAAAAACTAATCATTTTTAATATATAGGAATACCTAGTTGCCCATGTTTTGAATATTAGTCTCTCTTCACAACTTTGCATACTGTGGAATAAGGGATATGTGAGAGGATTCAGTGTGAAAAACATGTTCTTTGTACAGAAAAAGCTCTTCATTTGAACTTGGTAGTGACTGGATGTTTAGGAGCCTGGCAACTTCAGGCACTTCTGTAGCAGCTTTGGATGTTAAAGTGTCTTTGGCCTGAAATCCTAGGAGGCTCTCAAGTGCCTTCCAGCCAGTCCCAGAAATCTTGAAGGCAGCATCTTTTCTCTGTGCCTTTGCCTAAGGCAGTCTTCTGGGAGCTGGTACTCCCAAAAGCATACTGTTGACTTTGGAAAAGAGTCCTCCCCATCCCCAAACCAGCCTTCAGCCTGTGTCTTTGGCACAGGATTTGGAAAGCTTGGTGGGGCTGGATGCTTGGGAGCTTCAAAGAGAGCATAAATTCCTCTGTAACTTTTTATTGATCTAGTTTTGCTCCTAAAAATGTATCTGAGGTCAGGCATGGTGGCTCACGCATGTAATTCCAGCACTTTGGGAGGCTGAGGAGGGTGGATCACCTGAGGTCAGAAGTTTGAGACCAGCCTGGCCAACGTGATGAAATTCTGTCTTTATCAAAACTACAAGGCCAGGCACGGTAGCTCACTCCTGTAATCCCAGCACTTTGGGAGGCTGAGGCAGGCAGATCACAAGGTCAGGAGTTTGAGACCAGCCTGGCCAATATGGTGAAACCTGTCTCTACTAAAAATAAAAAAATTAGCTGGTGTGGTGGTGTGTGCCTGTAGTCCCAGCTGCTTGGGAGGCTGAGGCAGGAGAATCGCTTGAACATGGGAGGCAGAGGTTGCAGTGAGCCAAGATCACGCCGCTGCACTCCAGCCTGGGTGATAGAGCTAAACTCTGTTTAAAAAAAAAAAAAAAGCCACGTGGTGGTGTGCACCTGTAATTCCAGCTACTCAGGAGGCTGAGGCATGAGAATTGCTTGAACCCAGGAGGCAGAGGTTGCAGTGAGCCAAGATCATGCCAGTGCACTCCATGCCTTTTGCACTGGACAAAAGAGCAAGACTGTCTTAAAAAAAAAAAAAAAAAAAAGTGTATCTGGGGGTGGTACTCATTCTGTGATATACATTTAAGTTTGAGAAATACTGGTAATCTTCACTTTTGCTCTTGGAATTTGACTGCCTGTGAACTAAAGCTGTGGTCTCCAAAGTGGGGTACGTGACAGTAATTTATTGAAAATCAGGAAGAGGCCGGACGTGTTGGCTCACACTTGTAATCTCAACACTTTGGGAGGCTGAAGTAGGTGGATCACTTGAGGTCAGGAGTGTCAGCCTGGCCAACATGGTGAAACCCAGTCCCTACTAAAAAAATACAAAAATTAGTAGGGTGTGGTGGCACACGCTTGTAATCCCAGCTACTTCTGAGGCTGAGGCAGGAGAATTGCTTGAATCCAGGGATGGAGGTTACAGTGAGCCCAGATCGTGCCAATGCACTCTAGCCTGGGTGACAGAGTAACTCCATCTTAAAAGAAAAAGAAGCCGGGTGCGGTGGCTCAAGCCTGTAATCCCAGCACTTTGGGAGGCCGAGACGGGCGGATCATGAGGTCAGGAGATCAAGACCATCCTGGCTAACACAGTGAAACCCCGTCTCTACTAAAAAATACAAAAAACTAGCCAGGCGAGGTGGCGGGTGCCTGTAGTCCCAGCTACTCGGGAGGCTGAGGCAGGAGAATGGCGTAGACCCGGGAGGCGGAGCTTGCAGTGAGCTGAGATCCGGCCACAGCACTCCAGCCTGGGCGACAGAGTGAGATTCCATCTCAAAAAAAAAAAAAAAAGAGAGAAAAGCAGGAAGAAAATTTCGAAGCTTCTGTTTTTTTTTTTCTTTATTTTACTTTTAGAGACAGGGTCTCTTTCTGTTGCCCAGGCTGGAGTGCAGTGGCATGATCATAGCTCATAGTAGTCTCAAACTCCTGTGCTCAAGTGATCCTCCCACTTCAGCCTCCTGAATAGGTAAGTAGGACTATACAGGTGTGTGCTACCATACCTGGCTAATTTTTTATTTTTTGTAGCAGTGGGGTCTTGCTATGTTGCCCAGGCTAATCTCAGACTCCTGGCCTCAGGCAATCCTTCCTCTACTGGGATTACAGGCATGAGCCACCACACCTGGATCTATTTTTCCTTTTATTTTTTTAAGTTGTAGAATATTTATACAAAACTAACAACCCATATGTGTTAAGTAAATATTTTAAAATGAAAGAGATATTTTTCTAAATAAAAATAACTTAGTGAGAAGACTATACTCATTTATTTACTTTCTACGTCTGATGTCTGGCTGG